CACTTCGGCTGATTGACTTTCTCAAGTGATCTGTTTTTGGCATGCGTTTACAATTTATAGTCTCTAATGAAATAAGTTGAGGAGGGAAAAACTCTTTGTCTCAAGTTGGTCATTCAGAATTATATCTGTGTTTTTTAATTTGTCGATTTCCATAGATTCTAACAAAGATAGTTTAAAGCCTTTATTTTGAATGTGAAGAATTTTAAATTTGTCATTAAAAGAATGATTATGATCTAGAAGGTGAAGTGCGTATGTCGAATCTGTTTTTCTATTATTGAAAGCCCTTTTATGTTCTGCTATTCGTTTATTAAAGTTTCTACCAGTTTGACCGATGTAAGTTTTTGAGCAGTCGCCACATTGAAGTTTGTACACACCACTATTTAAGTGTTTTTTATTTTGGCTCTTGTTATTTTTAATATATTTGCCTAGGTGGTTATTTGTTCGGAAAGCTGGTGTTATTCCTTTCTTTTTTATGTGTTTGGCTATTTTTGTTGTTATTTTGCCTGTATATGTAATCGAGCAGAAGGTACTGGGTTTTTTCTCTGTTGGTGGAAGTACTAAGTTCATAGCTTTCTTGTAAAGTTTTTGATTTAACATTTTATTGTTTGTACGTTGTATCCGTTGTTATCAGACTTAAAAATAAACATGACTTCTCCATATTTCATAAACCTACACATACTGACACGACTATACACAATTCATCATCCCATCCAACACAACATAAACTAATCATAGTATGTTACATAGATTAACAGAAATTCCGATGTCAAAATACAACTTTGAGACAGAATTAAATATAATCAAGCAAATAGCGGTAAACAACGGATACAACGAACAAACAATTAATAAAATATTAAATCAAAAACTACACAAGAAAGCCCTGAAATTAGTATTTCCACCAACAGAGAAAAACCCAGTACCTTCTGCTCGATTACATATACAGGCAAAATAACAACAAAAATAGCCAAACACATAAAAAAGAAAGGAATAACACCAGCTTTCCGAATAAATAACAACCTAGGCAAATATATTAAAAATAACAAGAGCCAAAATAAAAAACACTTAAAAAGTGGTGTGTACAAACTTCAATGTGGCGACTGCCCAAAAACTTACATCGGTCAAACTGGTAGAAACTTTAATAAACTAATAGCAGAACATAAAAGGGCTTTCAATAATAGAAAAACAGATTCGACTTACACACTTCACCATCTAGATCATAGTCATTCTTTTAATGACAAATTTAAAATTCTTCACATTCAAAATAAAGGCCTTAAGCTATCTTTGTTAGAATCTATGGAAATCAACAAATTAAAAAACACAGATATATTTCTGAATGACCAACTTGAGACAAACAGTTCTCCCCTCCTCAACCTATTTCATTAGAGACTATAAATTGTAAACGCATGCCAAAAATAGATCGCTTGAGAAAGGCAATCAGCCGAAACAGCTGTAGTGATAATAGTTAAAATAAATTTTGTGCAAGTTTGAAAACAAAGTTTTCAGTGTTTTATTGTTACATCTGAAAGTATTTTTCTTATATTCTTTAAGTGAAATAATTGAACAAACTTCTTTCCTCATTGTTACTATTTGATCTTTTAGTTCACAAACTTAAAGCTTTAAGCGGTAGTTCCCATTTCTCAGGTATTTGTTATTATTTCGAAGACGCTGTTTTCTTGGAGGACGATGGGGCAGTTTTGGTGAAGTTTGCGTAATCTGTGTTAATGATACCATATCAGCAATTAAGATATGTTGGGGTGATGAAGGCTACAACTGCGGAACACTGTGACCTAAACAATAAAAGTATAGACATCCAACATCCAAAGCTAACAAATTATTCTTTGAAAGTTAGTCATATTACTTTTTTGCCATACGTTTTATTCAATACTGTATTTTAACTTGTAATAACTTTATTTTACTCAAAATGAGTATTCACTGTAATTCTTAAGCTTAAAATTGTTTTAAATGTATATCTATTTTTACTTCTAAGATCTGAATACATAAATACCAATTGCTATTTTTGTCACCTTTCCTTCGGATCCTTCGGAAAAGTAAAAAAACTTTTATTTGAGTTCGAACATCTATTTTTATAATTTTTAACGACACATATGTATCCACCGCTTTTCTTCACTTATATTCAATTTACTTCTAAAATAGTCAAAAAAAGGGATAAAGGGGTAGAATGCGAATACATGGAGTTGATTCCAGTTTACTCCAACTAGCCTCTACTACTTAAATCCTTCTACTCTCACCTTCACGCTGGTGTCCCCTGTTAACCAAGCAACCCAGCTGGAGATCCGGTATTAAACCCGGGTGGAAAGTTGGGTCGGGAACTGACGAGAGCGGGTGAAATGGCCATCCGAAAAGGGGGTTTGGCGTTGGGTTAACTACCCAACCCGGTAAAACCCCATAGTTACGAAATCGAAAGTCAAAAATGCCAGACGGAAATCTCGACGATGATGTTTGCGACGAAATAAGGACCTGAATAATGGAAATAATGATCTTAATTTATTTACCTGGAACGTTCGCACACTTAACGAATCTGGAAACATCCGCAAACTGTGTGACATATTAGCACAATATAATGCTGATATTACAGCAATTCAAGAAGTACGATGGACAGGCTATGGCATAATCCAAAAAGCAAACTACAATATACATTATAGTTGCCATAGAACCAGACATGAATTTGGGACATCCTTTATAGTCAATAATAAAGTCAAGTACTTGGTTATAGATTTTAAGCCGATCAATCCGCGAATGAGCTGCTTAAGGATCAGGGGCAAGTTTTTGATATTAGCCTTATTAATGTACATGCCCCAACAGAGGACAAGGAAAACGTAGAAAAAGACAATTTCTATGATGAATTAGAAAGAACATTATGACAATTGTCCCAGAAATGACAATAAAATAGTAATCGGTGATCTGAATGCAAAAATCGGAAGGGAAGAAATATATCTACCGCACATTGGTAAATATAGTCTCCATAATAATACTAATTCGAATGGTCACCGAGCAGTCACCTTCGCAGCCTCAAAGAACATGATCGTAGGAAGCACATGTTTTCTACACAAAAAATACATATGGGGACTTGGACCCCGCCTGATGTATTAACGAATAACCAAATTGATCATGTGATTATAGATACTAGACACTTCTCTAACCTTATGGATATCCGCACCTATCGAGGCGCCAATATTTATTCAGATCATTTTTTAATTGGCACAAGAATTCGGGCTAGAATCTTAAATGCGAAGAAGGAGAGAAGTACCTAAACAAGGCGCATTAATATTGAACTTCTCAAAAATCCGCAAACGGTAGAAAGGTTTCAAAACTATATCGAAACTAAATACATAACTAAAGATAATCTAACAATTGGTGAACAATGGGGAACAAATGTATAAAAATTATATTAAAGACGCAGCAAATAACATTCTAGGGCCGCACACAGCGCCACCACGCAATGAGTTGTTCGGCGCTGAGTGCGAGGACATTACAAGAAGAAACAACAATGCATATAAACTGATGCAGCAGAGAAGAACCCAAGAAAACGAAAAAAAAAATATAAAGATCTCAGAAAAGAAGAGAAGTACATCCATCGGAGATAAAAGCGAACTTATGAAAATAGAATATTGGAAGAACTTGAGCCATTAAAAAAGATTTCTTGTTTGAAAAATCAAACAAGAAAATTTTATAAAAATCTAAATTATGCAAGGTGGGTAGAACACTATAAAGAACTACTTATAATTGAAGTAGAAGATTCAAATCAACCACCTCTAGGAGCAAGCAACAATATACTATTGGAGCCTCCATCAATTCAAGAAGTGCGGGATGCTATATAACATCTAAAAAATAATAAATCTCGAGGACGTGATGGTATACCCGCGGAACTTATTGTGGAGGTGCTACTCTGACCAACTGTACATATAAAATCAATCCAGGCTTGAGAGCCTGGAATGAGAAACAAATCCCGGAAAAGTGGTGTATTGGGATCGTTTGCCCGCTACAGAAAAAGGGTGATAGCTCTGGGAAGGCTGTTAGGGATGCCCAAATAGACAACAGAGGAAACGTTTTTAATAAATTGTCGAAAATTTTGGCATATGCAGATGATATTGACCTAGTTTCCCGCACGACATGCAAACTAGAAGAAATGTATACCACCTTGTCAAATGCCTAAAAAATATGGGCCTGCAGGTAAATGAGAAGAAAACTAAGATAATGGCATCAACACCCAACAATAGAGCCAGAAACATCGGCCACCAATTTACTGTTGATAACTCTACCTTTGAAGTGGTGGACAAATTCATATACTTAGGCTCCCTGATCATCAAGGAGAACGTCATGACGGAAGAAATCAAGCGAAGAATAATCCTAGCAAACAAATGCTATTTTGGATTGAGTAGATATATGAGAAGCAGAAACTTAAGCCAAAAAAACAAAAATAACCATATACAAAACCCTTATACAACCAGTGTTGACATATGTATCGGAGACATGGACCAAATGCAACCATGCAACCAAATGGACAAAGGCAGATGTAAACCTCCTGCTCATATTTGAACGAAGGATCCTGAGAAGAATATTCGGTGGCATCTGTGAAAATGGTGTTTGGAGAAGGAGGTACAACTATGAGATATATCACAGATATAAATATATATTTGGTGGTAAAGACGTAGTATATCTTATAAAAATAGGAAGACTAAGATCCTTATCTCACAAACTGTGGGAAGTAGAAGTAGGGGTAGGCCAAAACTCAGATGGAGGGATGGTGTAGATGAGGATGGTAGAAAAATAGGCGCAGCAAACTGGCAACAGTTGACAATGGATAGAACTGACTGGCGTAATAGACTTGGGAAGGTCGAGGCTCTTTTATAGGACGTAATGATGATGAATAGTCAAAAAAACTGTGAAATATACACAAAATACTCACAAGTATTTTATACTGTGTATTTTTTTATTATTTAATAAACCATTTATGGATTATATTTTTTTATGTATAAGAATACAAAACTGATTTTAACATGGATCAAGAAAATGTTGTTGGCATAGTATATATCTATGGACATTAAATTTTAATCTGTTTAAAATAAATAAAAAAATCTTACAACTATTGTTTACTTCTAATCGTAAATATTCACCCACATTCATACACACAATCAACTGTAAGCCATTGGAAAGTAAAGCATGTTTCATTTTTTCTTCTTTTTCTTTTCGACTCCACCAAGCGAAGCGTCATTCTTCTGTTTCTGTGAAGATTTCGAGCTTATTTGGGCAGGAATACCTTCAAGATTTGAAGATTTGGAGACTTTTTTCTTTTTATCAATTTTTTCTCTTTCCTCCAATTCGGCATTTTCTCTTTCTATTAACGTAATCAACGTGTTACATCTCCTCTGCAGTTCCATGGCAGTTCTCGATTTTAAGAACCAATCAAATCTGAATTGTGGCGATGCACGCACAGCTGCTCTCAACTCTTCATAGACGATTTCTCTATCGAAACCCAACTTGTGCAACATACACACCAAAAACCTGTCGTCGTCTTCCATGTAGTTTTTGCCTTTGTTGGTGCCGTAAGAAATTCTTAGCTGATGAAAAGGTGCACGATATCTTGCCATTTTAGCATCAAGTGCTTTCTTAATACTAGCTCTTCTTTATATTTTAGTTTCTCCTCTCTTAATCTGGGCCATTATTCTATCAATATCCTGTAATTCATGACATCTTTCCCAAAACACCGCAGAATATTCCATAACTTCTTCAGGTGTTTTACCTTCAACATCTTTGGCGATGTTCTCGATATCGTCCCTACCATATTTCTCATTGGCTTTGATGAATTGGTTGAAATCGCGTTTACTCCAATTGGTGAAACCTTGCGAAAACAAGTTTTTTTTCCTTGTTGTTCCTCTTCGGTGAGGGGTTCCGATTCATCTATTTTTCTTTGCTCTTCTTTCTGTTGCTTGGACGCATCAGGTCCAAGTTCTAAGTTTTTTGGAACCTTATATCCCAAAGATTTCCTATAAAAGTAGATCTCCTGGTCCAAAAGTTCGAATAATCTCGGTGGGAAAAACTGGAAATCTTGAATGATGGGCTATTTTGGTGGTCTTGGAGGTTTGGGCGCTTTAGGCTCAGAAACTCTTAACGCTTCTCTGAAGTAAGCATCGACGGCATAGTTGGCTTTCCTTTCTCTTTTTGGAGGTTCTATCCAGTTGCTCAAGCCGATGGATTTCTGCTTCTCGCGATAGTCTTCTCCTTCGAATTGGTAGACTGATTCAGTGGGTGTTTCGACTGTGAAGTTACGAAGCGACGATTCACCCATGCCTTCCAACTTCTGAGCCAACTGAGCGGTCTTCATTTCTCCCTTTTCCAATATACTATCAATATCTTCATCTGTTATTTCGGAATCCTTAGAGGCAAATACGTGGTTGGCACCGTGCCGGATCATGTTTAACATTTTGTCTTTGTTCAGAGACTGTCCTTTGGAATCGGCTAAACGACCTTGTTGGATAACTTATTTGTCTAAACGTAATTTTACTTCAGCTCTTTCCACAATTTTTTCCTCTACAGTGTTCTCGGTAATAAATCTGAACACCCTGACTTGTTTCTTCTGACCAATTCTATGCGCTCTGTCCATAGCTTGCAGATCCATCTGAGGATTCCAATCCGAATCATATTTAATAACTACATCAGCTGTGGCCAAATTGATACCTAATCCACCAGCTCTAGTTGACAACATAAAGATAAACTTTTGGCTATTTTCTTCGTTATACTCGTTGATTTGTCTCTGTCTGTCTTCGTGTGGCGTTTGACCGTCCAAACGACAATATTGGTACTGTCCCCAATGACAGTAATCTTCAAGTATATCCAACATACGCGTCATCTGCGAGAAGATAAGTACACGAGACTCCTGTTCCTTCAATTTGGGAAGCAGTTTATACAGCAACACCATTTTACCGCAATTGTACACGAGATGCTCATCGGTTGTGTAAGGTGGTCCAGGCTCAGCGCCATCAAAAAGGTAGGGGTGATTGGTACATTTTCTTAACTGCATTAGAATATTCTGCAGTCGCATTTTTTCCACATTTCCTGCGCCATTCACTATGTCAATATCCTTCATCAGCACTTTGGTATACCATTCTCGTTGCATTTTGCTCAATCCTACATATACTTTAAATTCCTTCTTGGGTTTGAGCCGTTTCTCCACTTCAGCTTTTAATCTTCTAAGCAAGAATGGTTTCAATACAGCATACAGCCTCTCGACCAAGGCGTTGTCTCCCAAACATTGGCTGGTGTTGAACCAGGCATCGAAATCATCAGATGAGTTGAAAACATCTAGCAGTAAGAAGTTAAGAAGAGCCCAGAGTTCATGTAAATTATTTTGTAATGGAGTACCTGTTAGCAGTAACCTGTTAGTAGTCTTAAACTCCCTGAGAATTTCGGAAAGCTTAGATTTTTCATTTTTTATACGATGAGCTTCATCAATGACCATATATCTCCAGTTGAATTTTTTAAATACAGATTTTTCTTTAATACACATTTCATACGAGGTTATACAAACATCCCATTCACCAGGCATCATCGTATCTCTGATAAATGAGTTCCTAGCCTCTTGATCACCAATGAGACAAACAGCCCTCAAGGTTGGACACCACTTCTCGAACTCATTCATCCAATTTGATAAGGTAGATTTAGGAACAATGACAATATGAGGACCAGGTGTACTTTTATAGTGCTTCATATATTCCAGCAGAGATATGATTTGTAAAGTTTTACCCAAACCCATCTCGTCTGCTAAAATACGGTTGATGCCATGTTCATACAAAGAAATCATCCAGTTCAAACCACGAACTTGATAATCTCTCATTTTACCGTTTTTGATGTAGGGTGGTGAGGCATCAAAACGAGTTGTAGTTTTTGTTTTCAGGTTGGTTTCTGCCAAAAGTTCTTCGTCTTCTTCTTGTTCAGTTTTACGATGTCTCAAATCGAACGTATCAGTCTTCTCCTTTTTAGGCCTCCCAGTTTTCGGTTTACTGGGAGATTTTGTTTGGTTCATAAAATGCGAAAAGATTTCAGTCTGTTTCAGTAAGTAGTCAAATCTTTTTCCTCTGTCAGAAGCCACTTTTATCTCAAAATCTTCACCCTTGGAGGTAGTATCTGAAGAAGATTCATTTTGACCCAATTCTGAGTTTTCTGCTTCCTCCATTGGTTCTGAGGCACTTACGCTCGTCTCTGTCGAGCCTTCCTAATAATATTTTAATATTTTAATATTTTTTTTATTTCTAGTAATTTTCTACTTAATTGATTAATTTCATTATCAGTGTTGTTTATTGATTTTACAGCTAGGAATTACTTATATTTATATTTCCAATATAAACAAATGCCATTGTAATTACATTATTTAACACAAGAGCATCGTCCTGTGTCGTGTAACCGCAAGTTTGCATCTTAGGTGGTCACTTCACACTATCAAAAATATTTGGATTATGTTCACTACAGAAGTAATCCTAATCCATCATGTGTATGTATACATTTGAAGTAGTGTTTATGACTTTCAGAAACTGTTCTTTTTTCTCTCCTATATTTTAATTCAGTACATTTCAATAGAATAGAATAGAAATCCAAATCTCCACAAAATGACAAAAAATACATTTAGAACTATAATTATTTATTATATAATTTGTATAAATTTGACGCCGAAACTCTTACATTTTCATATCCCATTATAAAAGACCCTATAGAAGAAGAAAACTCCCATCTATTCAGCAAAATCCATTGTCTTGACAATCCATGAATATCAAGTTAGAACCGATCGATTTTTAATTACTTCTATTCAGTTTTATTAGGTCGGGAAGGAAGGAAATATTCGCGTCTCAAATTAGGAGGTTGAACTTGATCTTGAAGACGAGCTGAATTTTTTAAATTATCATTTATTATGTCCCGCCGGTGTAATTTTCAGACTAATATTTAGTTATCGTTGATACTCTTTATTGGCAAATTCGATTAAATTATGTTTGATGAAAAATTCCGATCAGTCAATCGAAAGTGGGAGGATAATTGGTACGGCCTGAGTTGAAATTTTACAGACAAAAAGTTTTTTACGAATTTTGTCATTTTCAGGAACAGCGAATAAAGGAAAGGAAATATATTCAGCTTATTTAACAAATTAATATATTAAATACTTTTTATATATCTTTTTCTTCTGCTTTTTATGTAGACATGACTCTGTCTTTTTTTCAATGTACCTCCAGTAAGTTGTCATTCCATCGTTTTCGTGGTCTTGTTACTGGTCGTCTTTCTATTGGTGAACCGTCTCTTGCCGTTTTTACTACTCTAATGGCATTCGGCATATGGAATCATTCCATTCCTGTCTTTTATTTCTTACCTAATCTTTAATGTTCTCCATCTTGCATCTACATCGTACTTTTACTTCAAGCTCTGCCCCATTTTGTCCTCTCTGTGTCAGGTCATGTTTCTGCGTGTTTTTTATTATTGGTTTGATGACTGTGTTGTAAATTAAGCTTTCCATTTCTTTGTCGATATTTTTATTTCTTCCTATTGTTTCTTTCAGGCAACCTGTGGCTCTGTTTGCTTTATTTACTTGATCTTCCACTCTCTTTCAAACTTTCTGGGTCTAGATCTATTACACTGGAGGAGACAAAACTAATCATCGATACGGAGTAGCTTTCATCAAAAGCAACAAATCTCAAAAAGAATAATAATGCTAAAAATTCAAGCACGGAACTGTAATATTAATATGATCCAAGTTTATGCTCCCACAGCTGATAAGACCGAAGATGAGATCGAAAAGTTTTATTCAGAATTGCACAATACGATCAAGTTAACAAAATCTAGGGATATTACTTACATTTTAGGAGACTTTAATGTAAAAATTGGAGTAGATACGGTTGAAAATATAGTAGGACATTTCGGATTATGAACTAGAAATAAGAGAGGAGAAAGGCTTATATAATTTTGCCAAGAAGAGAATATGGTAATTGCCAATACTTGATTTCAGCTTCCTAAGAAAAGAATATATACATGGACGTCTCCTTCACATACAGTAAACCACATTGTCAGAAAGCAGAGAGACTCTATACTCGTAAATAGCAGATATAAAACCTCTATATTTTCAGTTAAATCTTATCCTGGGACAGACGTTAACTCAGACCACAATCCATTAGTTGCTGACGTGAAAATAAAATTAAAAACAATTGAACTCAGAAAACAACAACCAAAAATTAAGAATGCTTAAAAACGAATTAAAAAAGAATGTGAATGTTTATATACAAAAACACTAACTGACAATAAACAAATTATGGATGTAAATAAAAAGTGGTATAATATAAAAAGCACATTATTGAAACCAGCTTAAGAAAGTTTGATACAACATAGGTCAGAGGCTAAAAACAGTGGATGACAGAAGAAATACTATTACAGATGAAAGAAAGAAGGAAATATAAAGGAAAAGATCTACAGAAGTATAAAGAAATACAACGAGTAATTAAGGAAAAATCAAAACAGTTAAGGAAATATATTTGATGAAATAACGTAAAGAGATAGAAGAACTAGAAACAAAATATGATATGAGAAATATGCATAAAAAAATAAGAGAAGTGAATGG